TTCTGCACAACACAGGTGCCAAGTCATTTGTTATGTTGATTTCTCGACCTAGGTACACATAACTGTTGCATTCGGAGATGGTCATTCCATTGAGAGTGAATGGAATGCCAGGACGAGACTGTTTCTCATAAACATTGTCTTCTTGAGATTCAGCTGTAGTCCGACCTTTCCACACTCATGGTCGAAGTCGACCAGCATTGTGCTGCTTGGCTAATGTTTGGTGTTATTAGAATGATGTCATCAGCAAAGCAGAGGTGGTGTAGTTGTCGACCGTCTATCTTCACTCCCTTTCCTTCCCATTCCAGTCACCAAATGATGTTCTCGAGGGTGGCACTGAAGAGTTTCGGTGAAATTGTATCACCCTGCCAAACCCCTCTCTTGACATCGATGGTCACTTCTTTGTAGAATGGGGAGATACTGGTAGTGAATCCGTAATACAGCTCATGGAGTATCTTGATGCATTGAGTATGAATGCCCTGATTGGCTAGGGCTTTGATGACTGCTTCTGTCTCAACAGAATCAAAGACCTTCTTTAAATCAATGACGTTAGACAGAGCACCCTCTTGAACTCCCGAGAAACCTCAATGAACTTGCTTATCATGTGGATATGGTTGATTGTGCTGAATCCTTTGCAGAACCCAACTTGCTCGCATGGTTGTCCTTCATCAGTGTTCTGCCAATCCTATTTAGGATGACTCGAGTGAACAGCTTGTAGATGACAGACAATAGGCAAATTGGGCTATAGTTGCTAATGTCGTGGATGTCTTCCTTCTTTTACAGTAGTACAGTCCTGCTGGTTTTCCACTGGGACGGAAGCTTGCATTCAGACAGGTAGCACATGAAGAGCTGAGTCAGTGTATTGATGAATACTGATGGCAGGTTCTTCAGGTGTTCAGCTCTGACCCTGTCTGGGCCAGGTGCTATTTGTTTCTTTATCGACGAAATAGTGTGTTGGATTTCTGAAGGGAGAACATTGGGAACAACATATCCATCCTGCGGAATTTGGTATGTTGGCAGGTGGATGTTGTTATCAAAGAGATCTGAGTAGAAGTCATGGATAATCTTTCCATTGCCCTTCTGGAAATGTGAGAGATCCATCAGGACATTGGAGGGCAGTCATCTTGATCTTGTACTTGGCGAAGAACAGGCGCGCATTACGAATGCTTTTCCCGGCTTCTGCCACATCTACCAGCACTGCTACTCTTCTCTCTTTGAGATCTACCTTTATTGCATCTCTGCACTGCTTTGTAAGCTTGGACATTCACTTGCGGTTGCCTGAGGCATGCACCAAACCACGCTGGTGAATAAGCTCAAGAGTTTTCAAAGATAGGCCTTTTTGTGGCTATCTCTCTCTTGGCGTTCCTCGCACAATCATGGAGGTGCTGAACCAGTCGATCGTATTTTCCTCGTCAATGTTGTCAAGGACGGCATCTTCTCATGTTGCAGCAATAGTGCCAAAGAGCTCCCAGTTGGTGGTCATTCTGGGAGTTCTCTTCTTAAACTTTGCAGCCCTTTCTCCCCACTTTGTGAAGTAGAATTTTGCACGAAGGAGACGGTGGTCGGATCCCGTTTGGAATTTTGGGACAATAGCGACATTGGTGAGGCAAAACTGTCTATTGAATATGATGTGGTCAATTTCGTTGTGGAACCGTCCACTGGGAGACTCCAATGTCCAACGTTTAGATTTGGCCTTTTGGAACTGTGAGCTACCATGGATGATCTTGGTTGACATGATGAACTCAGACAGTCTCTCACCCTGTTCATTCTATTCTAGGCCATGGGTCCCAATGTGGAGTTCTTCGGTTGATCTCTGTCCTATCTTGGCATTAAAATCACTAACAACGATCTTGTAGAAGGTGTGGTCTTATTTATAGAACTTCTCCAGCTCCGTGTAGAACTTCTCAATTTCTCCTTCATCATAATTGAATGTTAGTGCGTAGACAACAAAGATAGAAACTGCCGGTGTGAGCCACATCTATTCAAGTGTAATCGTGTGATTCGGGTTGTTAGGCATTCAAATGAATCAATGCTCATGGCCAAGTTCATGTTGAATAGGAAACCAATGCCTCCAGTGCCTCTTTTGTCACATGTCCCAAGGAACAATTCATCTCCAGTGTCGAAAATGGCATGATATGATTGATGCCTTCTTGTCTCGGTCAGAACAATGATGTCTTCCGCCCTTGTACCATCAGGTATACTGTATGTGAAGAAAATTATATTTGACATAAGTATGGGTCACTGGTTTTTGAAGCTCTGCCTCTGGGTTAGCAACATCAGAATTACTGGGACTGTAACAGAAAGCAAATTTCATATATTTCATACCAAGTCTACCGAATCAATATCACCAGGTATGTTGTTCAGAAAGCCAGTCTTCCAGATTATTCTGACACAAACTACTATTTCAAAGCTATTTGAGGTAGTGACATGGGAGGTATTCTGGCCTTGGACTGAGGATTTGAGTTGAAGACATCAGGAGGGTATCATGGAGGAAGTGACACCTGGAACAAATATGTAAAGATGATTGAATCCTAAACTCTAAGATGAATGAAATGTCAATAATATCCTATAAATAAATATTTTTAAAATTGAACTTATAAAAGTAACTCTGTACACAAGTGTAATTGTAAGTCTTCCTAGTGCAGTTGAGGACTGTTTAGAAATTCCCCAAGGGAAGTAGTTGAGAAAAATTTCTGGACAAAAGGAATTAGCAAGACAGTAATCACAGAAGTACTGGACCTGCTATGATGATTTGCAAAGGTCACTGTCTGTGATAAGGCTGAAAGTGTAGGTTGTAATCAAATTGCTAAAAGCTAAACAAAAGAATTGTGCATTGACAGCAAGATGAGCATAGAATTCTATGAATTCTAATATTCTGAGGTCATATGGTGAGATGGCATATGTCTCTGATGACAGGGATGCCACTGTAACAGTAGGCCATCAAGATGAAGAACAGAAAGATGGTTGTTCACTTTCTCTTCAGTGACTGCACTGCCTAAGTCCTAGATGGTTTCTTCTGTCTGCTGAGATGACATGTTCCTTCAGATTCTCTGTTAGCGCTGCCCTTAGGTTTGATCACAAAGAATGAATTCTTGAAACTAAAGCAAAGACAGAAGCAAAGACAAGGACAAAGACAAGACCTTCCACTATGTCCAGGAGGCAAGTACTTTTTCTTACACCCAGCTGCCTTTGCTTTTTTGTCTCATCTCGATAGAAAGCCCACAGACCCAACCCCTAAGCATTTAACTAGTGGAAGATCAAGCATATTTGCATAAAGATTAAATTTGGGGTAGAGTGTAATTGATTATTCATAGCATCATTTGTATAACTTGCTCTTATATGAAGTCACATGAACATTGTGTCCAGATGAAGAGGGTTGAATTCACACAACAATATCCTCAGCCCAAGATTCTGGGGGTAAGTAAAATCAAGTCTATTCTACGTGGATTTGTCCCTTACACATACTCCAGATGGCTGAGCTCCTAGAAAAGTGCATTGACTCATATGAGGTTTCTATTTATTTCTATAGACTGTGTTCCAGGACTTAAACCATACACTTTCTCGAAACATTTCACTGTATCACTGTCATCCTGTTCATCGATTTCCCCGAGCACGCACCAGTAACGTCTCCTTTATCCTAGCCCTGAGATTTTAGAAAGTGCCGGATTCGAGTCTCTTTCAGAGTCAGGAGAATGAGACCCATCATTGTTACTGGTTTTGGGCATATTGAATAGGCCACGGGGAGTTTGCCATTCTCAGCCTTGTGGGCAGGATACTTTTGGTAGCCTGCCAGGTTCTCCAGAGTAAGAACTAAATAATAAGATGTCTTGCAGCCGCAAGTGCGGCGTACACTTCCAGGAGCTGGGTTTTATAGTCTCTAGGTCTTGGCTGTTGATGGGATTACACGGCCCCAGGGGCAGTTGGTGAGTGTAAACTTGCATACTGGAATATGGGGGATCTGGGTGGAGGAGGCCCAGTCCCAATCTGAGCAGGCTTGGAGATCTAAGCCCTGGGTCCCGCACACCTGGGTTCCTCTGCCGGTTCCTTCATGCATGAGGCCCGTCTGAATGTGTGGAGAGTGGTCTTAAGCATGGCTATTGCTGGAACCGGAGGTCTTCAGCTGCCGGGGCTCTGCTTGGGGTGGGGAGGGAAACTCAACCCACATTTATTGAAAGAATAACAGATAAAGTGATAATAAATGAATGAATAAATGAATGACTGTATGCTATAGTGAAATGAGTCTGGACTTGGAAGTCAGGCAAAACTGGCTTCAAACTTCAGCTCTGTCACATATAGTCACAGTGGAAGTTATTTGCCTTTCTGAATACTTATTTCCTTATTTGTAAAAATGGGGCTTTTATTTGATTTAACGTGTTAGCATATTTTATGAATAACTAAAGGACATAAGTTTTACAAATGCATCCTATTATGAGGCTTAGAGCTTGGTTAGCAGCTCCTGAATAGTGGATTCCCTGTAGATCAATGATCAACTTTGGCTTCACATTAGCAGCATCTTGGATGCTATTAAAATTACTGACGCCCAAATTGCACCTCAGACCAATTGGATTAGAATATCCAAGCATGAATTTCTGGCATTTGTAGTTTTTATAACGATTTGGATGCACATGAAGATTGACATCATGCTTGCAGAAAAGTGACTGGCAACACTGGCTGCACATTAGAATCACCTCTGAAAGTTCTGAATCATACCAATGTCTGGGACTTGCCAGGGTATATTTTGATGTCTCTTCAGAAGTATATCTGGATATAGCTGAGACAAATGTGTGGTAAAAGGCACTAAGAGTCCTATCATATCCCTTGAGCACTGTCAGGAGTAATTCCTGAGTGTAAAGCCAGGAGTAACCCCTGAGCATTGCTGGGTGTGACCCAAAAAGGAAAAAAATAATACTTGGGCGGCTGGAGAGGAGGTCGTGGACGTCGCTGTCTCCTGCCGGGCTTCAGTGCACTGGGTGGTGGGAAGCACAGTCCCCCCAGGGTATCAATGCAAGTTTGAGTAAGGAAACAACTTCTTCTCCAGAACCATGGCATATCAGTTGTACAGAAGTACTACTTTGGGAAACAGTCTTCAGGAGAGCCTTGATGAGCTCATACAGTCTCAGCACATCACCCCGCAACTTGCCCTCCGAGTCCTACTCCAGTTTGATAAGGCTTTAAATTCAGCACTGGCTCAGAGGGTCAGGAACCACGTCACCTTCAGGGGCTCTCTAAATACATACAGATTTTGCGACAGTGTGTGGACTTTTGTATTGAATGATGTTGAATTCAGCAAGGTGACAGAACTTATTAAAGTGGGTAAAGTGAAAATTGTAGCCTATGATGGTAAAAATACTGGGACCGATACTACAGAATGAATAGAAAATACAGTGGCTTTTTTATGCCATCCTCGTTATCCATCACTATTTGGAGAGAAGCACAGAAGAGACTTTTTTAAAAAATATATTCTAGCATTACAGAAATCACTACACTGTGCTACACTATCAGAATCCCATTAGAAAGACGCCTGTACTTCTGTAACATCTCATAATTGTTATGATACAGCATGAAGAAGCAGCTTTTTTTAAATGACAAATCAGACATTGTTGTTGTCTTCCTAAGAACATTCTTTAATAGACTCATTTTAAAACAGAAAAAAATACTTATTGGTACTTTCTTAGCTATGAATATTTTCATGTATTTGAATATGTTGAGATGAATAAGATTCATTTGTGTTTTCAGCAATCCTCAGTTCAATAAACAAGTGGCAGTAAATTTAGTGTGGGATTGCAAATGGCATGTAGGGGATGATATGGCATTGTAGCACTGTCCTCCCTTATCAATTTGCTTGAGCGGGCACTAGTAACGTCTCCACTGTGAGACTTGTTTTTACTCATTTTGGCATAATATGCCACAAGGAGCTTGCCAGGCTCTGCTGTGCAGGCGGAATACTCTCGGTAGATATGGCATTAGTATTGGTATTAGTTGTATTAGTATTGGTATTAGTGTTTCCAGAAACTGCACCACCTGTGCTCACCACCCTTAGTGGTGCTGGTACCATGGATCAAAATCAGGGTCTCAAGTTTTGTACTTTATACTTTTTATACTTTATCTCTGAAGTCATATTCCTGGCCCTATCAGGGTACCATTTCATGCAGCTTTGGATTAGCCTACAGAAAATAATGGAGTTTCCCAGTTATCTAGAACTTGGCATTTTGTGACAATTTTGAGCCTAGCAGGGAATACTTGGGCTAGTCTCAGAATATTGTATGGTTCTGTTGTTTTTCAAAAGCAGTGATTTTTTAGATTTCTATTCTTCATTTAGTGAAATAAATACTTGAAAATTATGTGGGTGGTATTATACAAAATGAAGATTAGTGTATTAAAATTTTAAACTAATTAGGTTAAGACTCAATACATATCAGTATCCACACAAAGAAATTTCAAAAAGGTTATCTGAGAATTAGTTGGATTAATTTAAAAAAATCCAACTTCCTTTTGTGGAATATAAAATGGTGAGGATAAAATGAAGAGGGAGGATTGTGAGGAGAGTATTTTTTGAGAGCTGTTGAAAAACTGAACCCCTCTTCAAAAACTGATTTGGGATGTCAGTTTCTACTTCAAACTAGTGAGAAGGGTACTGCCATGTCATTACTAAAAGAGTCCGATGCTTCTATCCAGGTTTAGGACATGAATTATTGTTTGATGATTTATTCCTTCTAGCAAACTCTAGTGTGAAAGAGAAGTGATTCATCAACTTGAACATAGTCAGTATGTCAGGAATTATAGATCCATGAATGTTTTCTGGATTAGATATGGGCACATAATAGAGAGAGATTACCAAATTATTTTATCATTTCTACACTAGACTACCTCTGTGTGTATGTAAAATGAGGGTGGAATTAGGACTCTGTCCCTGGACTACAGTGAATCCAGGTTCCATATAGTGGAAGTTGCAGTAGGCAGACTCAGCTAGGGCATACCACTTATTTTGGATCTTCTGAAAGTGGAAATTCATCGATTGAGCACATAGAGAGCAGAATCATTTTACAACAATAACAACTAAGTAAAGATTTTCTTACCATCTCCGCCTGGTCCCTGTCCTTCTTTTTTTCCTCATTTGAAACTCATCAAAACCAAAAACTTGCCAGTAGAGAAGATGACAAATGAGGATATGAAAAGTGATCCCTCTAGAAGCCAGGTTACCTGTCTTTCATAAGCTCTAATAATCAGGTAGATACAATTTTTTACAAAGTGGGGGGTTCTAACCTTGAATAAAGATAGGATTTTTGTTGAAAGCATTGTGTTGCATACATTAATTTGCAACTGATAGATGGTCAGCAACTACACTACCTCTGCTTTGCTGATGACATCGTTCTAATAACACCAAACATCAGCCAAGCGGCACAAATGCTGACCGACTTCGACCGTGAGTGTGGAAAGATTGGACTACAGCTGAATCTCAAGAAGACAATGTTTATAAGAAACAGCCTTGTTCCTGACACTCCATTCACTCTCAACGGAACCACCATCTCTGAATGCAACAGTTATATATACCTAGGTCGGGAAATCAACATGATGAATGACCTGGCACCTGAGTTACGCAGGAGGAAGAGAGCGGCTTGGAATGCCTTCAAGATCGTTGAAGAAATAACTAAGAGGACAAAGAACCTCCAGCTACGAGCACATCTCTTCGATTCCACTGTTCTTCCTGCATTAACATATGCCTCAGAGACCTGGGCCCTACGAAAACAGGATGAGAATGCTATTCGGGTCTCTCAAAGAGGAATTGAAAGAGCTGTGCTTGGAGTAACACGCTTCACTCAAATGAGAGAAAGAATTCGGAATTCTGATCTCCGTCAACACTCAAGAATCAGGGACGCTGTCTCATTTGCCAAGGCATCGAAAATCAGATGGGCTGCACACGTAATGAGGTTTACAGACAACTGCTGGACTAGAGCCATTACTGACTGGATTCCACAGGATGTCAACAGATCGCGTGGATGCCCACCTACAAGATGGTCAGACTTCTTCGTCAAGACCCTGAATGATCGGTTTGAGGATCTACATGTTCCTAGAATGAACAGATGCCATTGGGCTACGCTAGCACGCAACCGGGATGAATGGAGATGTTACTGGCACCCGCTCGAGTAAATCAATGAATAACGGGGGATCAAGTGATCAAGTGAAGATTAATCTGCAGTGAAAGTTTCATACTTTGATTTTATATATATATATTTTTTTATTAAAAATTTTTTAATAGTGAGACATCATGAGGTACAGTTGCAGACTTACACATTTTTGTGCTTGGGTTTCAATTATACAATGATCAAATACCCATCCCTCCACCGGTGCCCATTTCCCACCACCATGGATCCCAGTATCCCTCCCACACCCCATTCCCCCCATCCCACCCTGCCTCTGTGGCAGGGCATTCCCCTCTGTTCTCTCCTTTTGGGTATTGTGGTTTGCAAAAGAAACATTGAGTGGCAATCATGTTTGGTCTATAGTCTACTTTCAGCATGCCTCTCCCATTCTGGGAGGATCCTCCCAACACCTTTATTTGGTGTTCCCCTCTTTATCTGAGCTCCCTTTTCCCCTAGTATGTGTGGCTGGCCTCCAAGTCATGGAGTAAAATTCCTGGTACTAATCTCAGCCATTCTTGGGTGTTAGTTTCCTATTTTGTTACTTTATGTTCCCCAGATGAATGCAATCTTTCTACGTCTATTCCTTTCTTTCTGAGTCATTTTGCTTAACTTGATACTTTCCATGTAGTACCACTTGTATGTAAATTTCATGACTTTGTCTTTTATAACAGCTACATAGTACTCCATTGTGTAAATGTACCAAAGTTTCTTTAACCAGTCATCTGTTCTCGGGCACTCAGGTTTTTTCCAGATTCTGGCTATTGTAAAGAGTGCTGCAATAAACAGACAATTGCAGATGTCACTTCGACTATACTTTTTTGCCTCTCTGGGATATATTCCCAGGAGTGGTATTACTGGATCAAATGGGAGCTCAATTTCTAATTTTTTGAGAATCGTCCATACTGTTTTCCAAAAGGGCTGAACCAGTCGGCATTCCCACCAACAGTGAAGGAGTGTCCCTTTCTCACCACATCCATGCCAGCACCGGTTGCTTTTGTTCTTGTGGATATGGGCCAGTCTCTGTGGTGTGAAGTGATATCTCATTGTGGTTTTGATCTGCATCTCCCTGATGATTAATGATGTGGAACAAAGAAAATGGGAGGGAGGAATCAAGCTCCCTAACTTCAAACGCTACTTCAAGGCAGTAATAATTAAAACAGCATGGTACTGGAACAAAGACAGAGCTGTAGACCAATGGAACAGGGTTGAATATACTGACATCTCCCCCCAAGCATACGAGCATCTAATCTTCAATAAGGGGGCAAGAAAAATGAAGTGGAGCGGGGAAATCCTCTTTAACAAATTATGCTGGCAAAACTGGACGGCTACATGCAAAAAAATGGGCTCAGATCTCTGCCTAACTCCATGTACAAAAGTAAGATCTAAGTGGACTAAAGACCTCAACATCAGATCGGATTCTATAAGGTACATTGAAGAAAAAGTTGGCAAAACCCTCCATGACATAGAAGCTAATGGTATCTTCAAAGATGTCATACCTCTGGCCAAGCAAGTGAAAACAGAAATAGAGAAATGGGACTATCTTAAACTAAGAAGCTTCTGCACCTCAAAAGAAACAGTGACCAAAATACAAAGACAGTCTACAGAATGGGAAAGGATATTCGCCAACTACACATCTGATAAGGGGTTAATTTCAAGGATATACAAAGTACTGGTTGAACTCCACAAGAAGAAAACATTCAACCCCATCAAAAAATGGGGAGATGAAATGAATAGAAACTTTCACAAAGAAGAAATCCGAATGGCTAAAAGGCATATACTTGTGATTTTTAAGAATGATATGACTATGGGATGATAAAAATTTTCACTCAGTGAGAGAAGAATCCTACTTCTTAAGCTAAGTAGGTTTAAGAGTATAATCAGGGATATAAAAGAAAAAAAACACAGCTAATTCAGTACTCTCATTCCACATGTGTCCTCATCCATTAAAAGAAGACCCTTAAGACAAGAGCTAAAGTTGCACTGGGAACGCCCACTGGAACACCCATGTATAATGAACAGTGGGTGCGAATCCATCTGGACTAAATTAGCTGTTTTGTGGGTCCAGGCATCAGAGCAGGAAATGATTATGAGAGCTGCCTCATGAGACCTCTGTCTAAAGGGGAAACTCTCTGGGTTACCCCATTTATCTGTACTCCATTAAAAGCCAGAGTAGGTCTTTCTTGCCGGAAGGGTTTCTCTGACAAAAGATTCATAATTCATGCTGTTGGCTCTCATAAAGCCTGTCACACATTGTGCTTAGACACAAATTCCCTGTCTCCTTCAGAATATGTATACTGCAACTTAATGTGCACAAGGATATGGATGCTCAAGTTTTAGGGTTCATTAAAATTATCTTGGGATCTTGTTAGAATCCAGCACTCTTCCCAGAACTTGAGGGCTTGGAA